GTCTGGCTAGAGGAAGTACACCTGATTGTCGCCCATGATATTCAGCACTGAAAACTACCAGGAGAACATATGTAATGTAATTAATGTAAAACCCTATAGTTGAACGAACCTAAACATACTTTAATGAACAAACTCTGGGTTTTTTAAACAGTTTTTTCTTTAATTTCCGAAGGTGAAACGATATATGACAATGTGTTTCTCACGCATGTCAGTTGTCATGGAAACAGTAAGGTGATAATTTACATTTGGTCAGCAATTTAGTTTAGGCTGCATATGAACACCTGCCTGTGTCACCGCCATTATCTACAACATCTTCTCTTGTTTGTAGGACATACGCCTTTGAAGACGCTCACATTGGAATCTCAACATGTGAAACTGAAGACTACCACGCTCACGCTCACACTCACACTCACGCTCACACCAATCCAGACTTCTACCAATCCTGTAAATAGACTCGATCAGCTTCTTAGACTAGATTTGTTTGTTAGAAACTGTCGGAAGATGATACCTGTTAGAAGGCATTCAGCAGCATGTTGCACCACAAATACACACTGTCATTTTAATGAACAATGTCGTGTTGCCATAGCTAAGTCCCCTAACAACATGTCAGCTTAATCATTTCACTCGTTGTTTCTACATATAGTAATGTATTGTGACGGTGATAATCAGGATCTGTGAGGAACGTCCAACATTGCTGACAATATCTTCACCTCTTTCATGCACATGTATCAGCAGTGAATAAAACTCCCCAGAGTTGTATATATAATGTGTGTTACAGATATGAAATAGTGGCATGCTGTATTTCCAGTTTCACTTACTTGTGTTTGATAGCGTGCTAAAATGTTTGTTTCATTGAATATAAAATATAAACTTATCTATTGAGAGTAAAATCACGGCATTTGACTTTAGCGTGTGGATACATGCATTACCAAGATACTACATGCATCAAGACCATATCCATGGACTACATGATAGTATGCTGATGCCGGAGCAGTACCGTGTCCTGATGGTGCTATGTCCAGGACCTACAGTTATATTTGTGTCAACAGGATATATTTTGCTGACATGTGTTCTCATTAAATGTTGAAATCCACTAAGGAAACCTATTCAAGTGGGACATTACATAGGGGGTTTATTTGGAAAAGAGTTTCTTAGTTTTCTTTACGTAAGAAATACTGGAAACCGTGCTTTGGTCACTGCATCATGTAACAGGCAATGAACACATATACGTGCGTATACATTGTAGTGGATCTAACAATTATTTAAAGTTACCCAAAGTGCATTTTTATGTTTAAAAGTTTAAGTGATTAGTACAAACAGAAGTTGACAAATAGCAGTTAAACGTGAAAACAAATCTCCAATGAAGATTCCCCAAACCATTATTCAATGAACTCGAAATTTAAATGGAAATACTGTATAGTGACTTGTCAAAGAGAGAAAGCGCACTATCCAACTAGCGCGCCCGCTGCCAGGATGTGTGTCGCCTAGCTGAGCCCGCGAGTCTGATGCTAGAAGTGGGCAGCACGCCACACACACATAGCTCTTACACAGCTACAGAACACAATGATAACACAGCAGGGAAAAGTGCACTACATAATCAAGTTTCTAACATGTTACGACCATAAGGAAAACTAACAGTTTTGTCCACCATGTAAAGATGTAGGCCGAGGCTGCAGTAATCAGTGGACGACTTGTCTGAGGTTGTTTGTTTCGAACACTCGTTGACAAGTAATCTTTATGACTTTCATATCGTATATGCTTATTTAAATTTTAGACTTCTGCACACCATTTTCTGTCGGAAATAATGCTACTGTACTTTCATGTCAAATGACAAAAATAACTCATCAACTAGTAATCCAACCAGGCCAAATGTATAACTTTAGGAGTAGAACTTCTAACTTTTACGACCCGTGAAGATCCGGGGTAGAATAGGTCTTCAGCAACCCATGTGCTTGCCATAAAAAGGCGACTATCTTGTCGTAAGAGGCGACTAACGGGATCGGGTGGTCAGTTTCGATGACTTGGTTGACACATGTCATCGGTTCCCAATTGCGCAGATCGATGCTCATGCTGTTGATCACTGGATTGTCTGGTCCAGACTCGATTATTTACAGACCGCCGCCATATAGCTGGAATATTGCTGAGTGCGGCGTAAAACTAAACTCACTCACTCACTCACTCTAGCTTTTACTGACGCGTTCCCACTTCTCCAAGACTGTTAACTGCAAATATTACATTTAATATTTTTTAATTCTTTCTTAGATATTGGCAACGCACCACTCTGTAGTAATACAGTACTGTTATGTATTCTTTCAATGATATTGGCAACACAACGATGTGCAGTCAGATATAATTGTGATGAATGCTTACAATAGTATTGGCAACACAACGATGTGCAGTCAGATATAATTGTGAAACATTCTTACAATGATATTGGCAACACAACGGTGTGCAGTCAGATATAATTGTGATACATTCTTACAATGGTATTGGCAACACTACGATGTGCAGTCAGATATAATTGTGATACATTCTTACAATGGTATTGACATCAGAACGATGTGCAGTCAGATAAAATTGTGACAAATGCTTACAATGATACTGGCAACACAACGATGTGCAGTCAGATATAATTGTGATACATTCTTACAATGGTATTGGCAACACAACGATGTGCAGTCAGATATAATTGTGATAAATGCTTACAATGGTATTGGCAACACAACGATGTGCAGTCAGATATAATTGTGATAAATGCTTACAGTGATATTGGCAACACAACGATGTGCAGTCGGATATAATTGTGATGCATTCTTACAATGGTATTGGCAACACTACGATGTGCAGTCAGATATAATTGTGATGCATTCTTACAATGATATTGGCAACACAACGATGTACAGTCAGATATAATTGTGATAAATGCTTACAATGGTATTGGCAACACAACGATGTGCAGTCAGATATAATTGTGATGCATTCTTACAATGGTATTGGCAACACAACGATGTGCAGTCAGATATAATTGTGATAAATGCTTACAGTGATATTGGCAACACAACGATGTGCAGTCAGATATAAATGTGATAAATGCTTACAGTGATATTGGCAACACAACGATGTGCAGTCAGATATAAATGTGATAAATGCTTACAATAATACTGGCAACAGAACGATGTGCATGCAGTCAGATATAATTGTGATAAATGCTTACAGTGATATTGGCAACACAACGATGTGCAGTCAGATATAAATGTGATAAATTCTTACAATGATATTGGCAACAGAACGTTGTGCAGTCAGATATAATTGTGATAAATGCTTACAGTGATATTGGCAACACAACGATGTGCAGTCAGATATAATTGTGATACATTCTTACAATGATATTGGCAACAGAACGATGTGCAGTCAGATATAAATGTGATAAATTCTTACAATGATACTGGCAACACAACGATGTGCAATCCGATAAAATTGTGATAAATTCTTAAAATGGTATACTCAACACAGCAACGTGCTGTCATATATTACTGTAATATATTCTTTCAATGCTGCGTGCCATTCAGTAACGTGTAGTCACATATTGTTGTAGTATGTTACCAAAATGAAATAGGCAATGCAACAATTAGCACCCAGATGTTATTGTAATATGTTCTAAAAAATGTCCTCAGGCGATCTGTAGTCAGTTATTTTGTGATATTTTCAGCGCCTTGAAAAGTTGCGTGGATGTGTGCGCTATATGAATATCCTATAATAATAAAATAATAATAATAACATTTTTGCAATGATATAGGGACCACAACAATGTGCTGTCAGATAGCAGTGTAACATATTCTTAAATGATGTAGGCAACATCAAAGTGCATATGATTTATCACTGTAAATTGTAAATGATTGTATCTTGGTTTCTCCATGGACGGCAATATGATCAAGAAGTCCAAGAATACACACCCTCCGCCCCCAAAACTCCACTTTACCCCTACCCCCAACCGCCACGTCATACCCCTCTCGCACCGTCACTCTAATAGTATTACACAAATGGTTTTCGTTTAACCATTTTTTCGCTTTCCTGACTTACTTTTTCTAAAGTAGCACAGGCTCTGTTGGTAAACTACTAGTAGGAACGTGGGTACCATCTCAACTGGGGTGTCTCGGTTGTTGTAGCTGACGGAAGTAATGAGCAGGTTTTTTTCAGCGGAACACGTGCTGCTCTGGCGCACCTCCAACATGGTTCACATTCTGACGTAAGCAGTCACGTGCCTCTCATTTGGAAATCAACAAAATGACATTGTTATTCTAAGCTCATGATAGTGTGTAACAAGACAAGGGGATGTCGCCCCTGTTTGAATTGCACACCAAATTATACTACAATGGCTATTGTGAATGCCGTGCTCGGCCCATGGCCCCTGTAGGCTGTATGCACGTGTGTTCGAGTCACGTGACGGGGGGAGTGCCCGTCTAATGAGCTACCCTGATAACGGCGGTTGGATAGGCAGAACCCCTCATATTCCACACTCCGCCCGCTGACTCATGTTCGCTAGCCACTGACAAGGAATCGATCTATTTTTCTCAAGTGTCATCCTAATGAGAAATACATGTTCTTTAAACCTCTTTGTCGCAGAGCTAGCGTCGCATGGTGCCAAACTCTCGGCGCTCGTCAAACCCGTGCTTAATGGAACAACTCACATTGTCATTAGCGCGCGTGCAGGGGAAGGCAAATAAGTCACTAATGAGTAGTCAATTAGCCACCTTCAGCCGGTAGAAAAGAAGAGACTTGCGCGATATCCACAAATTATCAATTAATTCCCAGCAACGTGGACATTTCTGGGATTGTAATTGTCGGCTTGTCCAACTTGTAGGTATTAATTGAGAGATAGGATCTGCCTGCTGGCTGAAAACATTGGCGACCCTTCCGTCAATAAGAGCTTCCGCGCAGTCAACTCAAGGAGCAAAACAGCGAGAACTTGAAACCTTGAAGCAAAACATGTTACATAAACAATGGCATCAGCTGGCGGCCAGGGGACAAGGAGGATGTCCACGGGGGCTAGACGGGAGTAGTAATCACTGAACGGCAGTTCCACCGGCATCCTACCCTGCAGCTATCCAAAACCTGCCCTACCTACATAGCTACCCACCCACCTACTTACCTACATAGCTACCCACCCACCTACCTGCCTACATAGCTACCCACCTACCTACCTACCTACCTACATAGCTACCCACCCACCTACCTAACTACCTACCTACATAGCTACCCACCCACCTACCTACCTACATAGCTACCCACCCACCTACCTACATAGCTACCCACCCACCTACCTACCTACATAGCTACCCACCCACCTACCTACCTTCATAGCTACCCACCTACCTAAATACCTACATACATAGCTGCCCACCTACCTAACTACCTACCTACATAGCTACCCACCCACCTACATAGCTACATAGCTACCCACCTACCTAAATACCTACATACATAGCTACCCACCTACCTAACTACCTACCTACATAGCTACCCACCCACCTACCTACCTTCATATAGCTACCCACCTACCTAAATACCTACATACATAGCTACCCACCTACCTAACTACTTACCTACATAGCTACCCACCCACCTACATAGCTACATAGCTACCCACCCACCTACCTACATAGCTACCCACCTACCTAACTACCTACCTACATAGCTACCCACCTACCTATCCACCCACCTACCTACCTACATAGCTACCCACCTACCTAACTACCTACATACATAGCTACCCACCCACCTACCTACCTACATATAGCTACCCACCCACCTACCTACCTACATAGCTACCCACCTACCTAACTACCTACCTACATAGCTACCCACCTACCTATCCACCCACCTACCTAACTACCTACCTACATAGCTACCCCACCCACCCACCTACCTACCTATATAGCTACCCACCATAGGCTAGCACCCACCACCTTAATCCACCTTAAGCATACATATCATTCCACCCACCTACCTACCTACATAGCTACCCACCCACCTATACCTACCTACATAGCTACCCACCTACCTAACTACACCTACATAGCTACCCACCTACCTATCCACCCACCTACCTAACTACCTACCTACATAGCTACCCACCCACCCACCTACCTACATAGCTACCCACCTACCTATAGCCACCCACCCACCTACCTACCTACATACATAGCTACCCACCTACCTATCGCCACCCACCCACCTACCTACCTACGTAGCTACACACCTACCTACCTACATAGCTACCTACATAGCCCCCCACGTACATAGCTACCTACCTACATAGCTACCTACATAGCTACCCACCTATCTACCTACCCACCTACCTATAGCCACCCACCCACCTACCTACCTACATAGCTACCCACCTACCTATCGCCACCCACCCACCTACCTACCTACATAGCTACCTACATAGCTACCCACCTACCTACCTACCCACCTACCTATCGCCACCCACCCACCTACCTACCTACATAGCTACCTACATAGCTACCAACCTACCTACCTACCCACCTACCTATAGCCACCCACCCACCTACCTACCTACATAGATACCCACCTACCTAACTACCTACCTACATAGCTACCCACCTACCTATAGCCACCCACCCACCTACCTACATACATACATAGCTACCCACCTACCTATCGCCACCCACCCACCTACCTACCTACATAGCTACCTACATAGATACCCACCTTCCTACATAGATACCTACATAGATACCCACCTACCTATAGCCACCCATCCACCCACCTACCTACCTACATAGCTACCTACCTACACCTACGTACCTACCAACCTACCTACCTACGCACCCACGCCCACCTTACCTATCAACCTACACCTATGCCCCTACGTACCAACGTACCTACCTACCTACTCTCCCCCGCTTACCTACCTATCAACCTACAGCTACGCACCTACGTGCCTACTAACCTACACCTACGCACCTACCTATCGAAACCTACGTATCTACATTCCTACCTACTTGTATAGCCCGTACGACGTATTCTGACTAACTATGCTATATCCATCAATCATCCATCCGTCTGTCTGTCCGTCTGTCCGTGATTAAGGGCACTCATGTCAATGTAGAAAGTGTATTGGTATGCACTTATCTGGCTGCATGGACGGCAGTGTGTGTGGACATGTCGGCAGCATCTGGCCCCTGTATTCCAGTCAGCTGGACAGCCGGCGATGTGTGTGCGCTTCTGTATTTATATGTTGATGTAAACAGTCGCGATTAAACAAGTGTGCATTTACAAATAGTACACGCCAGAAGGCCTCTGGTCATCTGTTGAGCCGACATGATGGGCCACATTGCTAAACAACATAACTCATATGAGGCCCAGCCGTATACTCTCATGTCCGGTCTTGCCCATTACCAGCATTGCGTGGAGACTTTATGGAAATATTAAGGTTACTTGCAGTTTCTTTGGTGTCTAATTTACACAAACACGCACAGCCGGTGTACGCCATGTCTTTGTCGGCCGTGTCTACAGGGCCCCTGACGTCACATGCAACATATACGAGCAGAGCATGTGTTCTGTCATTGTCAGCAATGAGTATGTTCTTGTTTGGATCTCAAGTTAATGTGACCCCCAACTGTTTGAAATATAGACATATGCTGTAGGGAAATGGTATGTTATTGATTGTGGAACTTGAGCGAAAATAAACAGATTTATCTATTATTTTTTTCAAAATAGAAAATCGACCATTTGCTTCTCTAATGTGAATATTTCACAGTTGATGTATTCATTTGTATTGTTAAAAACAACGCCTTCATTGTTAACTCATAAACCAGACTACCTCCGTATGTGTTTGTGTATTGATGCGTCTAGGTATGTGCGCATGTTTCTAGATCTGTTCAATGCACTGAAATCTGCTGTCGAAGGCTTCTTTGGGTGCCAACCAAAAGAGTTTCTATAATGAATTGATAGATCTGTGGGGCAAAGGGCGGAGGCATCCAAATACGAGCCATATTTTATTTAAAGACTAAAGTGAATTCAAAGTCGTGTGTCTCACTTTTTGTGTACGAAGTACAGAACAATTAGAAAACCCCAGTATATAACGGAGTCTATGGCGGCAGCCTGAAGATAATCGCGTATGGACCAGACGATCCGGTGATTGAGAACCTCGATCCACGCCTTCTGGGTACGGTGGCACGTAATCAAGTGGGCAAGCTTGACCCCCGACACATCAAGCCGCCCCTGAAAACAATCATACATTGGGACCTATTCTGATCTGGAACCCTCACGCAATGTACGTGTACGACACACATTGACAGACAGACAGACAGACAGACAGACAGATATAGTTTTTTATTGTGTGTCTTGATGCCTGTGTAGCTGTGTGGCTTGGTACACGCCGTCCGTGCGACATACAAAGTAGATTTCATATGATTTTTCTCCGATAACAGCTTGAGAACAAAAATACAACCCTGCCAATTTCTCGCTCACGTATAATCGGAACTGTGATGTGACTTCACTTTTCAATTTAAACTCATAATACACTTATTTTTGTTTATGGGTGTAACGTCGTCATTTTCTCCACGAATGTCATAACTCATCTTGATCCTGATGGAAAACAAGAAATTAGTACAGTTAATTGTAAGTTGGTCTATGTAAGTAAATAGGTTCGGTGCCAAAAAGCCCTTATATACACGCCTTCTAGCAAAGGTATACATTCTACGCGTCTAAATTTCTATCCCGGCGGTTCAATGCCTTGTGCAAGGGAAACATCATACAGACCAGAAGAAAACAAATACATATTGCAGTAAATAAGGGGACCACAAACGCATTTATTTGAGACAGACACACGATTAAAATCCCAGAAATATGTACGATTCAACATGTTGTGGCATTTACAATTGTTTTAGATGCTAAAAAATATGTTCAAAGAATCTTTTAAGTTAATCTAAACAAACCTCAGTGTGAAATATGCTCATGCCAATAATGGTTGTCACCCCCACCCACCCACACCCACGCCCCCTCTCCAATAATAAAAATTGAAGGGGGTGACAACCATTATTGGCATGAGTATATTAACAAGAAAATGGCTTGAATGTCTGTGAAACAAATATGTGAATTTCCTCTCCAACTGTTCCAATGTCAAAGTACATTCTACGTTTAATGTTGCCTTCCTTTATAGTGTGTGTAAACGAAACCCAGGCATGGAGGCGCGATAAACCCCCCGCAAAACATGATAAGTAGTAAAATGGTTTTCGAAGCCATCGGCTTCTGCTACATCTAGGGCAAACTAACGCCGTGTCTGCAGATTAACGTAACGGCAGGTAAGAGTTCAATAAGCATGACCGTAGAACTGAGTGGTCGACATTGCTGTACGTCTTGTCCCAGTCGCTTACTTCCGAGGTATATACTTGACGCGGATGCAGCAACTACCAATTTATTTCTGGGATTCTTTTGCCTCATATTGGCCAGTTATTTGTGACCGATGTGATTTTGATATTTGTCATTAGGCTAAATTCTAGACTCTAAGAAAGGTTATTACCTACCTGGGTTTAAGGTTGTCATTTGGAGATGCATTTGCAAATGAGCGTATCTAAAACCAACCAAGCCCCAAATCACTTCCTGAACTTTAATTCAACTGTAAGTTTTTTAAAATAATTCTGCTGTCATATTCTTGGGCTTTTCATGTGACACTGATCACCTATTTATTCTGAAGGTAGCATATTTGTCTGGTTTGGCAACGTTATGTTATGCGTCATCGCGAAATGAAAAAGGAAAAAATGTGTGAAAACATAATACAGCCAAGCAACAGCAATTAACACACAGGCTCCGTAGATAGTAACTATACATGGGGGTTTGACTTACTTCACATCGTTTTCACTAGTTTGAATAAGAATCCATATTGCTTCTTTTAACAAAGTTTGAAATTCAGACAAACAGAATTCATAGTTATTTTGAGAGGAAAAATATTTATTGACGCAGTATTCTCGCTATTTGATTAACAATAATTATTATTGTAATTGATATGTCAAGCTTCTGCAACTGAACCTTTTAAACGTGTTCTTTAAATGCGATATATAAATACGCCTCAAGCAATTAGTCTTTTCGATAGGAAAAGGTTCATTTAAGGACGAAAATATTCCATGATTTGAATACTAGTAAACAAATCACCGTTACCGATCCCAGTAAATCCGGATTACCACATATTCTTGATTTCATGGCCATGTAGTTATGTCCCTTTAGTCACATGTTGACTTATTCAGAAATAATCAGGATGAAAGGCTTCGGATTAACGTGCCGTCACAGTATCTATTTCAATGTAAAAATCATCACTACTGTACTAAACAATTAGAAGTTAATGGCATTACAATAAGTCTATTTCAACATCAAAATCAAACACATTTTAATACATTTCAATATGAAACTACATCACTGTCAGGCTTCAACACTACAAGTTATCACAGTAAAACGTTTCTTCCATTGTTTGGACATCATTATACCTCACATGAAGACTGTTCATTTCGATGTCAAACTACAGTCCGACATGGCTATATATTTAAACATAGAAGTTCGTCAAAATTCGACGTTTTAAATACCAAACCGAAGAACAAAACACTACTTATTACAACTTTCTTTGACATATTGTGTTTCAACATTAAACTACATCAGTACAATACCATGTTAACGTGGAACATTCTCACTGTTAATCTATATATTTTAACATGAAGACGGAATGCCATTATGTCAGCATCACCGGCGGGAAACACACCTCACTTATTCACTTCAGAAAGTCTTAAATGTCTGCACCACATTGTGATTCTTGAGCGCCTTATTGAAATGTTTCTTGTTGGTCAGTTGCTACAGTACAGTAGTCTAAGGCAACCCCTTCTACACAGTATATTACATTTAGTTCAAACAACAAAGGGAATTCACCTTTCGTAAT